TTCTTTCTTTCTTTCTTTCTTTCTTTCTCTTTCTTTCTTTCTCTATGACATTGGATCCTAGTGTCCCCCACTGAAAATCCAAGTTTCTTCATACTTTTGACCCTCACCACATCTCACAGAGGTCTGGGCACTTCTTAAATGCTGACAATGTGAGGGCTGTGTCTAACAGCTTGGGGTAAAAGGCAACTGGGGCCTAGAAAACTCTGAATTATTTGAATGCTAAAATCCAGAAAAAGAACTCCCAACATTGGTATCAGTCAACACTTTTTTTCCAAATGCTTTTCCTTACAAGCTTACAGCTTAGTGTTAAGAGCATGAGTTTTTGTATCAGATCTGGATTCTACTCCAGACACTCACATGTGTCAGCTGTCTTTTGGTAAAGCACTTTAACTCCTCAAGCCTCCTTTCCTCATTTTAAAACGAGGATGACAATAATAATATCTACTAGAGGGGGGTTGTTGAAAATAATAATAACCACTTCAGAGGATTATTGTCAGGATTAAATGAGATAAGGCATGCACAGTAGTCAGCACGGTGCCTGCCAAGTTGTTAGCATTCAGTAAATGCTTAGCAAAGAGGAGGAGACCACATCATCTTTGCTTTTGGCCTGGAATGCGTCATGGTGGGGCTGGTGGTGGAGGTGATGGTCAGTAAACTAAAAGATAACAGTCACCTAATTTCCTTAATGTCACCTCCTCTATCTCGCTGTTCCTCCTGCCTTAAAAGGATATTATTGAGAACATAAAACTTTTATAAAAACCCATGGCTTCTAGTGGGAAAAGCCCTGCACTAGAAGTTAAAAGATCTGAACTCTGCCACAGAGGTTACAGTAAAAGTTAGTTGTTGGAATCATTATAATTTGGTGTGACTTTGATAAATCCCTTAAATTTCTCCTGTGTCTCAGTGGCCTCTTCTATATCATGAACGCTTATGATCAAGCCCCGTTTAACTACTTTACACGTCTCATCTCGTTTCATCTTTGCATCAGTCCTAGGAGGCTGTTCCCGTTCGTACTGCTATTTTACAGATTAAGCAAAAAGAGTCTAAGAAAGGTGAAGTGTTTTGGTTAAGACACCAGACAGCAAGCAGCTGATCTGGAATTCAAATCAAGAGAAGGCTGATGACAAAGCCACGTTTTTTCCAACTTACCTCTGGGCCTCAAAAGACACACGTACGAAACGTTCAGGAGGCATGAAGGAGAATACAGTAACACATCTGCAGAGGGTGTCAGTGGCCTGAGGGGTGTGTGGGGGGACACTGTGTGTGAGGATTCTTTTGAGGCAATTTTGATACCTCGTCCAGGTAAAACAAACCTCGGGAGCTGGGACGCTGTGCCAAGTTAGGGATATAAAGACTTCATACGCCCCACCCCTCATGTCACCTCACTCCTACCTTTTCGCTGCCATTTCTGGAGTTTTCTGGTTTCACTAGGATGGATGGTGGGGCGGATGCAGGTGGTTTAGGTAGAGGCTCGCTCTTGACAGGGATTTCCTTGCCTTCCATGATGAGGGAACTGGCGGCTGAGCGGGTCCTGGTGTCGCCGCCTCTGCTGACACACGTGAGGGCAGGCTCCCCGGTGGGAGCGGGCTGCGGTCCCAGTTCCGCTGCCACCACCGTGGAGGGGGC